AAATCAGTTATCCCACACAAGAATCAGTCTCTGTCGCATCTTCTTCCTCTATCAAGGCACAATCTCCTGAAGTCAAGGTAGCTGACAATACGAAGAACGGAGAATCTCTTTCCAGTCTCAAGCGTATGGTATCCGGCAAGATGGAGTACTCGTCGGAACAGAAACAGTCAGTAAGTCTCCTTTGAAACCCACTCATCATACTTATTAATCAATCAAACCATCGCAGACCAGGCAAATACATAGCTATCGACTGTGAAATGGTTGGCGTTGGGATCGACGGATCAGAATCTTCTTTGGCGAGAGTCACGCTGGTCAACTACCACGGTGCGGTCCAGATGGATGTTTTTGTGAGGCAGAGGGAACGAGTGGTGGACTACAGGACACAGTATAGTGGTATTAGGGAGTCGGATATGAAGAAAGGTTTGAGCAATTCACTATCATTGGCCAAACGTTCGGTCATATTCATCTATACCGTCTCTTCAGCCAAACCGTTCGATGAGGTACAGAAACAAGTCGCCGACCTACTCCAGGACCGAATCCTTGTCGGTCATGCCATTCACAACGATCTCAAGGTATACCGGCCTCACTGGTTCATCCTTTACTCTTACTTGAATGTTCGCTCACCATTCCTGCCCAAGGCTCTTCTACTATCTCATCCATGGAATCTCACCAGAGATACCCAATACCTCGCTGGTAAAACCAAGGTCGTGCGGAGTAAATATATTGCTCTGCGAAAACTGGTCGAACAGGAACTGGGCGTCGTGATCCAAGCCGGAGAGCATTCCAGTGTATGTCTACCATCCGATATTCACTCTTTTACTATCTTTGCTTATCTCTTCTGAAATAGCTGGTCGATGCTCGAGCGACCATGGCGGTATACCGCTTACATAGAAAGGAATGGGAAAAAGTTAGCCCAAACCCAGTGAAAGCGGCGGCGTTCGACACGACATCGAAACATCCAAATCGGCATGCCAAGATTGATATCGAGGAGAAGGAAGGCAGCGTAGAACCAAAAGGGAAAAGGAAGAGAAAGAGAGATGCAGTCGAGGACGAGGACGAGGACGAGGACAGTTCGAATCCACCATCTACTTCAAGATCTCAACCCAAATCCAATCTATCAAAAAGTCGAAAGAAAGAAAAACGCAAACAGGAAACTTTGAACTCTCCTGGTGGTCGTAAAGGCGTCAGCTCCGGTCTTTCAACTATCGTTCGGAGAGGCAGAGGTAGTAACGTTTCTGACAAACGCTCACAGTGGTGGAAGGATTTGGGAAATATTGGGTCGAGCGGCTCGAAGGGTTCGTTGCGTATCTGACTGTGAGTTCTGTTGAGATTGAATTTGGATGTCACTGGAAGAACGTTTTGTCTCGTCACAGAAGTAAATTCCCTTTCCGTGTAGGCAAAAACACTGGACCGATACAAGCCGTACATTCAAAATCATTGATTCCTGCATATAACGAAATCTCCTGAAATACTCAAACGCAGCTGAAGCTCCGAGCCTCATATCCTTGATGACATCGACGAATAACTTCCAAGGGACAATATTAACACTGTTTTCAAAATAAATGGATCGACGTTCTCTGAACCACCATTACCTTGTCACAATACCAGATCCTTCGATCACGCAGCAGCTGCGACCGATTTGAGATAGTCAATCCGATGAGGGTTGGCATCGCTCTCAGCTCCACGGTAGATCGCCTTCCATTTTGGCTCGTCCTGTATAGACATAGTCTATGTCAGCTCAAGGTCTTTTCAAATCAAACCAACACGAAACAAGATGGCAGTACCTTGAACAATCGAACAGCTTGGGCCATATTTCCCTCGTCAACTGTGAATCGATGGTATATTCCAGCGGGGACCACGAGCAAGTCACCCGCAGAGACAGCGATACGGATCCATGTATCGGTCGAAGCCTCTGATGTTATACATATAATTTCAAGAATTGTGAATGCGCACGAGCAGAGGCCATGGCAAGTAAGTACTTACGGCGAACATCAAAGAATCCCCCTCCTGCTAGAATGTATCGAATTTCTTCATCCTCGTGTATATGTCTGGAATGATTGCGTTACTCTCCGACCTTTTTACGCAATACTGACGATTCCCAGCTTACTTACTCTTCATAAAATCCCTTGATCTTCTCTTCATATTGCTATAACATGATTAGGTATCGCAGCCTTGAGATCGCTCATCTTCGCATCATACGCGAAAAAGTGCTCACATCTCCCAAGCCTTCTTTGGATATAGTAATCACATCCCTGTTCTTGTACGCCCTTTCCTTCGCTACAGCGTTCAGCTTTTCTTCATAACCCTCCGTGAGAGGGATATTCCAAGCTTCGACCTTGAGGCCGTTCAAGGTCTCAGTATCGACAGCACGAGAAGAGTCGTGAGGGAGTCTTTGGTCCCCTGGTTGATTGTCGAAGTAATAAGCACGCATGGCTTGAGGAGTCGGAGTGAGAGATGATGGTGATATCGGTTCAAAGGGTAGAACGTGAGTAAGTTGGAGTGCTTTGCCAAATAAGTGGTGATCTCGGGGTCGGTCCTCAAGGCCTCATGGGACAAGCGGAACTGTAGCGGAATGCCGAGTGTTATATTCAGCTACTGATTTCCCGCTCGTCATATCACGATCTCCTTCGAGCGAGTCAACGCGCAGCTTGACCTCACGCGATTATGGGTCGTTCTATATGGATGAACAGCGGCAAGATCGAAGAAAGTCACAAGTTATTTGAACTCTCAAATGACGATAACTTGTAAAGTTCATTATTACTATTTCGCAATCCATTTCGTTCGAGATCCCACTGTGACTATCCAAAAAAAGAGACCAAAACGAAATCATACTACGCAATTCTGCAACACTTCTTCAACCCAATCAGCCATAATCCGATGAGTCTCCTTAGATGGGTGTCTACAGGAGGTTCATATGAGCGATTGCCAGCAATGGGGAAAGGAAAGGATGAGAATGTTCAAAGCCGATCACACACTCACCCATCTATCCAGTAAAAGTAATGCTCGGGATCCATGCACCAGCCATACTGGTTGCAATCCTCTGTGCAAACCGTACAAGCAGCGGTACTTGTATACCCAAAGGCCCGATATCTATTCCAATCACGAATCAGAAACGCTCCAGGTCACATAACCCAGCTTCGCTACGAGACTTACCCAGGATCAGGTCCCAATACCCCATCCCAGATCGCCGCCATATCGACATAGGCCACATTAAGCTTGGAAGGTCCCTCATGGAACGCCTTGAGACCATCGAACACTTGTTGCTTGTATGCTTCGCCCCATGCAGAGGTGTTTCCCCGACCATATACGTCGACGACGAGGAAGGATTTGCCGTTTGTGGGTGGGCTAGAAAGGGTTTGGATCTCGTTCAGGATCGTTTGTGCGGCCTCTGGCATATGATCTCCGTCAACTGTAAGAGGGAGAAGGTAAGAATGATCTTGAGATGAGTACAAAGGATGATTTACTTACTGAGAGATGCAATGTAGTCGCTGACGAGTTCAAGCAAGGAAGATTATTAGATGGATACCTGCATCAAGGCCCCCATGATACTTACTTGATCCCAAAGAATATGCTGTACAACGTCGAGTCAGAGTCCAACTGGTTCGACTGACCAAGGAAAGTTGCCACTGTGGACCACAAGACACTCGACATTGAGTAAGTCCAGCGCATACATTGACAAACTAGTACCCACTTTGATCAATGAAATCCACTTTCCTAGGATTGCTCGGCCACAGCGATAGATTCGTGCATGCACCCCATTGCTGCAAAATTTCGGAGAAATTGTAAGTTTGTACAGCGCTCAGTCAAAGATAGAACGAGGTAGAATCAGAAGACCCGAATGAGCACCCGGGGGCAGCGCTGCTTCAGCGCCACAGGAAGTGTTCAAAGGTAGTCTTCAAACTAAGAACTAGAAAAGGAAATAACAAAAGGTTCGGAGGAACATACCGCATAATCCATAAGATGAGCACCCCAGTCACCGGATACGCCTTCGATCCAGACAGGTCCGTTCGTGGACCGGCCACCTGCTTCATCGTTCGGAGGGATCAGAACAGGCGGGAGAAGCGCAGACCCATTGTCAATGCCTCCGTCTGTGTACGAGTCCTATATACACAATATATAGGTCAGAGAATATTGTATCAGGGCGAATGATGTCCGAGATGCTGATGGGCTTGAAAAACAAAGAATAGAGCAAAAAGAGAAAACAAAAGAAACGGATTGGTACATACCCCAAACGAGACGATAGTCTTGATGGAGGAAGGTATAATCCCCGCATTCACGTTTGTCGTCTTCCCATCCAACGGACCACACTGAGGGGAGACCGCCAGGTGGATCCCATCGTTATCGCCGCTACCTTGTCTCGGTCTCAGCATGGTCCTCGGTACACTATGCGTAGAACGCTGAGACCCTCTCGGAGCAGAGTATACACCGTACAAGCCCCCGTCAAGGAGCAAAGTAGAGGCATAGACTGAGAGGAAAAGGTTAACCAGCTTCAAGGCCATTGTGTAAGCGGTTGTAGAAGATAAGGAGCCTCCAAGAAAGAACGAGGAGCTACGAGATTCTTGAATAGGGCATGAAGCTGACTTTTATAGTCCTTCAAGGGTCTTCTTCATAGCAGAAGATTCCGAGGAACCTTCTTACGAGGTGCTCAGAGGTTACGTCTTCCCCGCTGAATCCGCTGTGTCCGCATGGTCATCTATCGTTCCTTTTGTTCAACCGTTGTAGCTGAAAAAGATGAAAACCTGTATCGTGCTAAAATAGGAACTCACCCTACTCACCCTCAATGTACGACTCTAGTATCTTCTAGTATTGAATTGAATACTTAAGGTTGACAATTGAATATCAGTCACCGGACAAGCCGAAAAAAGTCTTCAACGATGTTCAGCTCGTGAGTTCAAAATTGGTATACTGGAAGGAAGGACATTCAAATCAATCAGCAGGTTGTTGTTGCATAAAGTTGGACAGAAAGGAAAAAAAAGATATAGTCACCTTGCCCTCACTTATTCCAATGCGGGGAATCGAACCCCGGGCTGCTGTGATCCTTCTCTTTTCGATGATGAAAGACAGCAATGTTAGCCACTACACCACATTGGATGACATTTCAGTAAATCAAAGTCTGTACACACTAGGGGCGCAGCATAATTTTACAGGTCGGGAAAGTTGGAATCAAAAAGTTGATTGACGCTCGTAGTATTTACCCAATTTCCTTCCATAAATAGCACATAGTACGCGCTCTATATATAATGTTTCCCATTGATAATAGATGCCGTTTTGCGGCTCGAATCTTTGGCCATTTCTCACCCATTGAAGGTCTTCTTTCGCCTCAATAATTGATTTTCTTTCGCATTATGCTAAGATATCCTTTTGCGTTGATTATTGATTATCTTTCACCCCAGATCTAGCTAATCTATAGCGCCCGCATTTCTTTCGATTTTTCCGTCGCGAAAGTGATTGCCCGGTTTTTTTAGGCGCTGGCCCATATAAGGCAGCTCTAGTGCCCGTCACAATCTCGCTCAAGAGTGCACCAACAGAAGATGCGTTCATGGAGGATATGTTCTTCGTGTTCGTGCTAGAGGTCGCGGTCGAGTTTCAGTGTCCAAACGGTGGGATACCGATTAAGGATAAAAAAGCGGTGATGAGTTCTGGATACGGTATGGCCTGTCCACGTTCCATGATCTTGAACAAACTCCAACAACATTTATTTCAACGTTTCTACTAGCTGGTATACATGCTCAAATCAATCTCCCTCACCTCGAAATCCTGTTCGCCAACATACTTCGCCTGCTTGAGTTCCGACATTTGTTTGAGGTAGTTTTCATCGAAGAAGGACCGAGGCCATTTTTTGGGCGGCTTCCTGGTAGAGGCTTTGCATCTAGGATCGCCTCGAATTCTACGCTTCTTGACCCTTCCGCTCTGTATGAAAAGGAACTTCTCGAAGCCCGGTAACATGTCCAACCAGTGAAGCACATTCGCCAAGTATGGATCGCGGAAGGGAATGGTCATGGTGAGTTTCACGGCTTCCTCTATTATCACGCCTCGCCCATTCGTCACTGTATCAACACCATCCTCATCCTCAGACATCCCACCTGGTTTGAGTTTTCCAACCAGTCGCAGTAGGTATTGGAAAAGTTGTACCCCTTCATGATCCTCTCTTTCTTGGGATACTTGAATCATGATAGCACAGATCTCGCTGCGAGTACGCCATTTCTGAGTGACAAATGGGTTTCAGACAGATCACTAAGATACGGAAGTAGCCTACCACATGACGGAAATTGGTTTCTCCGTTCATCTTGATTTTCAGTTCATATTCAGACACCAGCCGTTCATGTATCTGCTGTGCGCTCTCCATTCGACCTTCGACTGTGCGGGGAATAGACTTGATTGCCGCCAGGAAGATGCGATACAAGCGTTCGCTTAGAAGGGAAATCCAGTCTATTTTGCGTTTACCGAACCGATTGTCCTTGGCTTCAGATACAATGGCCTGGGCTGTTTTTACTAAATTCATGAGCAATTGTTCATTCCAAGGCAATGTAGCTAGGCCTTGAGTGGTGGTTTCACGTTTGTCAATCCACGTACAATGGATACCAGGCCCGTGTTGTAAGGGATCGTTTGAGAATTCCTCCAGTCGTTGGTCCGAAACACTGGGGCGAACGAACGCTTTGAAATTTCTGCGCACTCCGAGGGCTTCTCGAACGAGACGTCTTCCAAGTTTCTTAGAGATGAGATTGCCAATCAGAAAATATGTGGGTTTAGACCACAATGGACTTACATTGATTTCACGTTTCTGCTGTATAGATTGCCAAGATTTGCGGACGCCTTTTCGCTTGTAACGAGCGGCAGTATGGCTGACGTTACTCTCCACGAAATCATCTTCTGACTCTGAAGACGACTCCGATGATTCAGAGTCAGAATCACTTGAAAATGCAGCATCCCGAGCCTTGCCCTTGCCCTTGCCCTTGCCCTTGCCTCTAGAACGCTATAAAGAGAGATCAGAGTCTACACCGACCCATGCTGGTATATAATATACTGACCGGACCTGTCTCGTCCTCGGTATCGGAACCAGAATCTAAAAACATCCTTCGCTTCACCTTGAAAAGCAGTCAGTAAGCAGGCTGAACCTGATGCTATGCCTCAATCCTACATAAGGCGAATGAATTCGTGCTGTTCCCCATCCTTTATGTCTGGAATGGGAATGTCTTCCTGCTGAGCTAGTTCCCGCTGTTTCACCAGCATCCTGCTCGGGTCCAGACGACGTCCCTGCTCCAGAAGCCTGAGTCGTAGATTTCTGTACAGGTTATAAGATCAGATTGAGATTGAAGCGTCAAAGGAACATAGTCCTAACCAAGGGCCCTCCCAACTTGTACGAAGGGAACCGCTCTTTAGCGTATCGTAGCTCGGCATTTATATCAGCGCGAGATAATGCTCGATTTTTTCCTCTCATTGTGAAACCGAAAGCATTGCTCGCGGATTGCGCGCGGAGGTCTTCCTACATGACAGTAAGTCCCTTGACCCTGTTTGTACCGTTGCCCAGAGAAATGCACCTTTAATTGATCGCGTTCTGCTTTCAGGTTGGAGATCTGTGCATGTAAGCTCGCGATCTCTGTTGCCTGGGCGCCCGCTCGTGTACTTGACTAGGACCGAAATGAAGCAGTTTCTTATAAACCAGGGAAGATGACGCACTTTGAGAGTATCACGTTCGCTCGTCAAACTTGTGATAGATTGTTGTAATTCTTTGATTTTATTGTCATTCTGCGTGTTCATGGAGAGTTGTTGATCATATTGTTTTCGTAGCTGGTCGAAAGACTGTTGCAATTCCTTGATTCTCTGATCAGGAGACGACTTGGATCAAATCCAGTGAGGTCGAATGGGTAGTGAATGAACAGAAAAAACTACCTTGTATTGTATTCGTTCTTGTTTCAACTGCTTTAGTTCGTTGTTGAGAGAAGAGACAAGACTACGCTCGGCATCAAGAGAGGTCTGCATCATATATAGTGTTCAGCAATATGCCTTTGCAATAGTCTGAACGAACCTGTAGATTATTACGTTCTGTTCTCAGTGTTTCTATCTCAGCTCGGTTCGATCCAGAGGCCTTGAATCATTTTAAGGGCTTCGCTTGATCAAGAACGCAACACGATAGAGTTACCGTTTCTTTCAAAGCCTTGATTTCAGCTATTCTGGCCGCAAGTTTCTCCTATGGCACGATTAAGCCCGTGATGTAGAGATAGTGACACCGGGGGCGAACCTTTATGAGTTTGTAGTCCGCATTCAGCCCATTGAATCGAATCTAATGAGAAACAGTCAGATTGGGAACATACAGGAACCAAAACACGCACTTTAGCCACTGTTTCCAAGTGCAATTTGCGTATCTGTTCTTTCTGATCCTCAATTGTTTTGCGCTGTATCTGACAATCCCTCGAAAGGGTTTTGACCCTCTCATTGAGCGTATCGGAGCTCCCAGCTGACGACTAGGACAGCGATAAGACATGTACCGTTAAGAAAGAGAGCTTCTCACCTTGAATGCACGTAATTCCTCCAGCTCTTTCCTGTCCGATTCAACTTGTTTCTGGGATGTCTCGAGGTCGGCATATAGCATATCAAGATCAATCAACATTTTACTGACCTTTAAAGTTGTAGTGGTCGCCTCAAGCTCACGTTGGGTCTGTCCTTGAGCAGAAGCGGCTGACTGAAACTCTTCGATCTTACTGTTCATCGTGACCATAAGCGCCTTGGAAAGCATTAGACAACTCCGGTGATAAGAAATGTTGGGATACTAACTTGATTTTCGTCGGTCAAACTTGTCCGCTCCTTCTCCAGATTCTCTTTGGCTTGTTTCAACGCTAGCACAGTCTGATCGAGATCTGTTTTCTGTTCTCGCAAGGTTTTCACGGTTTCCGTAAGTTTGCTCATTTCAGTTTGTAGCTGAGCAAGCTGGGACGATGTCTGTGCAAGGTTTGACTTTAAGAAGGATTTATGAGTTGATCTAACGCATAGTGAGAACAGATGAGTACCTCTTTGTCCTTGCCCTTGGCTTCAGCAAGCTCCACGCTTTCACGGAGTTTCTGACACTGAGTTTCCAATTCAGCGATCCGAGATGCACGCTGCGCAAACTCCTATGAATCATAGTTTGAGAACCAGAGAGTGAGTGAGCATGAGAACGCAAGACGAACCGCACTCTGAAGCCTGAGTGATTGTAGTTCGGCAGAGGTTGTCTTCTCAGCCTCAATTTGTAACTTGTCAATGGTCAGAGATCCGTGGAGAGGCCGAAGCGATTGAGAGAATACCTCGTTTGCATTCTCAAGATCCCTATTGGATTGTTCTAACCTCGCTAGTTCTTTCTCGAGGATAAGTACTTTGTCTTGCAAATCGGTTCCTTGAGTACCATCCCGCTCAAGACTCTGAAAGGGTGTTGTTAGAGCAACACAACAATTTCAAAATGATTGAACACATACCTCCTTCTCGTTCTCAAGATCCCTATTGCTTCGTTCCAAATCAGCTATAGTTTTCTCCAAGGACACAATCTTCTCTTTCACAACCTGTAGTTCACTAGTCATGGATGACTTAAACAAGGAAGCATGGGTGATCAGCGGAATCAAGATCAAAACACTCGCATACCTGCTTAGTCTGTGCTGAGTTTCTGGCGCGCTCCAGATCTACATGAAGCTCTTGCGCTTTTGTCTTTGCTTGTTTCAGATCTTCGCAAACCCTGGTCAACTCGTCTTCCTTAGTCTTTTGAACTCGGTCAGCTTCTTCCAGCTTCTTTTTGAACCCGGTCTTGGCTTCTTCCAGTTTGGCAATGGTGCTTTCGGACACTGTCTTGGCATTTTCTAACATGACTTTGTTTTGCTCAAGTATTTTGATCTTGTTCTCGGAGGATTTCAGATCGTTGCGAACCCTGGTCAACTCGTTCTCGGTATCGACGCGCGACTAACAAAGACGGTCAACAATGCCATATGCTGATACCATGATACTTACATCATCCTTGGTCTTATAAATACGATTGGCTTCTTCTAGTTTGGCAATAGTGTTCTCGGATACTGCTTTGGTGTCTTTTGTAATGGCTACTTCAGCTTCGAGCGCTTTTATCTTGTGCGCCG